AGGTAAATCCCATCCTGGCTGACGTGTTTCAGTGAGGAGTTACACGCGTCCCCAGGGGATGGGAGTGGTTTTGTGTGGGTTGGGAAGTACCTTCAGCCCTGCTAAAGAGCCAGAATTGTTCTGGGTCAGCACGGGCACATGTTTCTGCACCAGGACAGGAGCTGGCAAGAAGCTGGGAACTGTGTGGATACACAGTGAAAGAGAACAACGTGGGGAGGTGTAGGAGTCTGAACGCCCTGCTTTAGTGTGCTGCCTCCTTCGTTAAATCTGTAATAAAAGACCTACAATGGGCTAATAAAGCTGTAACAGCCACTGGGTGAAAGCCAGAATAAAGGAGCCTCCCTGGGACTGGCTGTTCCTGCTCCGAGTGGGTGGTGCTGTGCAAGGACACGCTGCTTCCAGCACCTTCAGCTCCGTCTGAGCTCCGGCCTCAGCCTTTGCTCTGGGGTAGCTCGAGCCACCCTCGTTATCTCACTGCCTTACAGCTTGGCCTGTGCTTTTCCTAGGAAAGCCTGAAGCGCTGGATCCAAGGAAACCTGACAAACTGTGGACGCTCAGCCTTCCTCTTTGATGAGATGGACAAGATGCACCCAGGGCTGATCGATGTGATCATACCATTCCTGGGCCCCTCGTGGGTCGTGTACGGGACCAACTACCGCAAAGCCATCTTCATCTTCATCAGGTGAGGAGGGGGGGCCTTCCAGCACTGGGCAGAGGTCACACCTACTCCAGGGCACGCACTTGTTTTGCTTTTCCTTCTCCAAGCCTTGAGCCTCTTAAAATTCCAAGAGATTCTATTTCATTGTGAACAGACAGACCTGGAGAGTGCAAAAAAGCCCTCCTATCCCTGATACTTGGCTGCCTCTACAGGAGTCATTTTGGGCCGTAGTGGGAGATCCTGGCTTGCACTCTGCAAGTGTCAGGTTGTCCTGAAACACCGTTTTCCCAGGTACACACTGAGTAAGTGTCTCCTTGTTGTGCAGCAACGCAGGAGGGGAGCAGATCAACGAGGTGACGCTGGCGCTGTGGCGCGCCCGCAGGGACCGGGAGGAGATCAGCCTGCAGGACCTGGAGCCAGCCATCTCCAAGGCCGTGTTTGAAAACCCTCAGAGTGAGTCCGTGGAGCTGAGCCCTTCCCACAGGGCCAGAGCCTGGCACAAGCAGCCGCCCACACTGCCTGCCACTTCCCTGGCAGCCAGGAAGGGACGGCAGGGTTTTCAGGGAAGGGAACTGCTATCCCCTCAAGGTTTCCTGGCGAAGGGAAGGAATAGCCTGGCCTTCTGAGCCAGCAGACCTGTTGCCATGCTTAGCAAAGTTCTTTGGAAGGTGTATTTGCAGCTGGGGGCTGGCAGACAGCAGAGCACACTCAGTGTATTGATCTCCACTGCCTGCCTGGTTCTCCTTGCTTTGCCCTTGTCACAGGGAACAGAGCTTAAATTCTGACTAGGCAAGCTAAATCCCCTCATTCCTGGAGAATAATTCTATTTGGGGCTAACAGGAGTGACAGCTGATGGGTTCAGCCCTCTCCTTGTACAAAACCAGAGCAGATCTCTCTTCAGCAGAATGTTTTGACTTCACCAAAAGCAGCTCTTTGAATTGCAGGGACTGCAGAGACTCACTGAAGGTAAAACATATCTCTTCTTTTCCCTTTTGCAGGTGGATTCTGGAAATCCGAGATCATTAATGAACATCTCATTGATTTTGTTGTGCCTTTCCTCCCCCTGAAGCACCACCACGTGAAGCAGTGCGTGGTCAGCGAACTCATCCAGCAAGGCCTCGAAGTACGTCCAGGCATTGTCCAGGAGGTGGCCAAGAGCATCCCCTACTTCCCAGAAGAGGAGAAATTATTCTCATCAACAGGCTGCAAAACAGTGGCCTCTCGGATCAGTTTTTTTCTGTAGTCACTGTTGAGGGCCTTGCTCAGATCCATAGGGGGTGTATACGGAACTGGAAAGCGCCCAGGGCTGGCGGGACGAGCAGTGGGAGCAGCATGTCCCTCCTGGCACCACAAGTGCTCTCCTGCTCAACTCTCTCCAGTGGCTGTGGGACCAAGTGCAAATGATGTGATTTAAAGCACTTTACTGATTCACCCTCGGCCAGGTGAGGGTGGATGCACCACCCGAGGCATCTGTGACGACACGGGGAAGATGCTGAAAGGGGCTGCAGCGTCAGGGAGGTTTCTCAGCCTGTCAGCAGCACCCACCCACAGCTTTCTCCCCTCTCCTGGCAGCTGTTGGTACCCAGCACATCAAGATTCTGAGCCCACAGAAGAATATTTTATTCCTTACAGCATTTTAACAGTCTTTTTAAAACCTTTTTAATCGTGGCTGTGCCTCAGCTCCTTGGTACAATGTGACAGTGCCGGTGCCGACTCCTGTGAACACCTCCAAGAAAGTTTTCTTTTCAAGGAAGTTTCAGAGCCAAGTTTTTCCCAGATTCCTTTCACTGTGAATAGGTGCTGTGAGGGACCAGCTTCACCACCAAGTGAGGGGGTAATGTGGGAGACGGCAACAACACCTGATCTCCCAAGAGCCAGGCTCCCCTGCTATCCCCTCATCCATTTTTCCCCTCAGGACCAAAGGACTTCCCTGCAGCAAACCAGGAAAACAACAAAAGACCTCTTGCTTGCTTTACCAGCCACAAAAAATTTCATCCTACCTCCAGGGGAGCCCACGGTGCCGCTAACAGTTCAGAAAATTCCTTTTACTCAGTGATGATTTCTGCAGCAGAGTTGGTGCTATGAGCTGTGGAGCCTCCTGTACGTCCTTCTGCTGGTCAGACCTTGGCAGGCTTTGGCTGGGCCAACACCCATTCAGCTTCTGGGGAGTGTCACAACAGGGGACCTAGAGACAAGTCAGAGAAGATTAGTGCTCCAGACTGCCGAGCACGGGATGCACAGCCTGGCCTTTGCCCGGGTTTTAATCTCCTCTGTGCATCACTTATGGAATAACAGGTCAGAAGAACGAGAATCATTCACTTTAGGAACAACCTGCTCAAGGGATGGGTGCAGGCACAATTCCCAGATGCTCTGCTCAGGCCCTGTGCAGAAACAAGCTGCCAGCAGTTGGGACCATTCCAGCTCCAGGCCCAGAGCTTTGGGGATTTTAGACACCACCCAAAGGCTGCCCAGGTGGACCCAAATATTCTGCCTCTTCCAAAAAAATTATGCCTTTCTAATTTTAAAATAAATCTTTTATGAGATAAATGGGTGGGGTCTTTTGCTTGAGTTCCCAATTGCAGCTGATGTGGAAGGACCTAGAAGATGTGCAGTTGCACGGGAACAGCTGCCTGATGTGATGGGACTTTGGGGATGTAGTGGCTGATGGAGCTGATGGTTTCCAGTGTAGTAACTGGGAAAAAGAGAGCAGCCTTGTCCTGGGAGGAGGAACAGCAGTAGCAGCAGCATCTTGCCTTCGTGCTCTTCACCCTCTTCAGGCACAGAGACCACCTGTGGACACCTTTCTGCCTGCTGGTCCTGCCAGCGAGGGGACAGGAATGATCCCACTCACAGCCTGGCTGTGAGTCCTGGCTGTGCAAGCCTACCTGCTCACCTCCCCCGGGGTCCTGCTGTCCCTGCCCATGCAGTGCCACTGCAACCTGGCTGTGCACACCCTGGCTCAGCTCCATCCTGCTGGTGACCTGCTGGCAGCTCCCCTGGGCAAAGGGAGACTCTGCAGCAGCAGCACCTCGGTTAAATGAAAGCAGCTGGGGGCTGGCTGCCACCCCTAGGCAACGTCTGGAGCTCTCTGTGCCAATGGGAAACACGCAGGGCACGTGTCCAGCCCACCCCAGCCACGAAGATTTCAGCATCATTAGCCAAAAGCTCTGAGCTCTGCCGAGCAGGAGACACAGCCTGGAAAAGAGCAGCTGTTCCCAGCCGTGCCCCCAGGACAGGCCATATGGAAGGCAGTCACCAGTAGTAAATCCCAGCTCCTGGTACCTCTCCCCGCTGCTGAAGTGGTCCAGGCGAGCACAGCTGGGGACTGAGACCAAGAGCAAGGGGGAACCCAAGGGAGAACCTCGGGTGAGAGGTTAACAGCATCCTGAAGCCTGATGCCCACGTGAGAGCCAGCCTTAATTATGCTGCCCAACTTCTCCAGCTCCTAGCCTAGTGAATCCCGAGCCTTCTAGGGCTGCAGATTCAGGTCAGTGGATTTTGAATAGCAGGAGATGGCTCCCTCCCGCTGGCCACGGGAGGAGAATTCCATCCCTTTCTGCCAGCCATGGAGAGAAGGGCAGCAAGTGCAGCCCAGGGCTGTGCTGCTGGGCTGGGGAAGTGCCAGTGCCCCTGGAAGGAAGCTCTGCCCTGCTGGGCAGGGCCCGAGAGCCCTCCATAGGGACCCTCCGCAGAGAACCTGCCGGCCTTCACCCCGCGGCCCCCGGTAACCACACAGATCGCCCCTAGAGTTCACTCCCATTCCACGCCCTTCCCAGACGGCTCCAGCGGCTTTATCGCAGCGCCGGCCCCGCCCCGGTCGCCACACCGCCCCCGGCCCCTCCCCTGTCGCGACACCGGCCCCGCCCCGCCGCCCTCAAGAAAGATGGCGCCGCTGCCCTTAACCAAGATGGCGGCGCAGGGCGGGGTGGGCGTCGAGCGGCGCGCGGGCCGTGACGTCACGCGGGGACGGGACGGGAGGGGAGGGGCGATGCTGGCGGCGGAGCTCGCGGGGCGCGCGCGGGCACTCGCGGGGCGGGCGGGGCCACGCGCCATGGTCGGGGCGGGACCGGGGGCTGTGAGGGGAGAGGGGTGTGAGGGGAGCGGGGGAACGGGACTGAGAGCGGAGCACCGGGGCGATCGGGGCTGCGGGCGGAACGGGGTTGAGAGGGGAGCGGGGAGGGGGGGGGGGGGGGGGGGGGGGGGGGGGGGGGGGGGGGGGGGGGGGGGGGGGGGGGGGGGGGACTGGGGGGGGAAGGAGCGGTGTTGGGGCTGTGAGAGGAGCACCGGAGGGATTCAGACTGAGAGGACCCAGCCAGCTGCGAGGAGTTGAGGGGTGGGTGGGAGCGGGGCTGAATGCTTGGATCGGGCTGCTCTTGGCAGCCCATCAGAGCCCTGTCGATGCCTGTTGGGCAGGTGGCCGGCCTGGGCAACTACGGGCTGTGGGGGACGCGGCACAGCGTGGGCATGGCGGTGCTGGACCGGCTGGCCCGGCAGCTGGCGGTGGCCGAGGGCTGGCGAGTGGACAGGCGGTGCTGCGCCGACGTGGCCCTGGCCACGGCCCACGGCCTGGAGCTGGTGCTGCTCAAGCCGCGGAGGTTCATGAACCTCAACGGGCTCAGCGTAGCGAGTGCCGGTGAGCGGGGGTCACCCCCAGAGCCTGCAGTGCCACCAGCCCCTGTCACAGCCCTGCTGCCCCCCTGCCCTGCATGGATCACTGCAGCCCTGCCCTGCAGGGTCAGGGGCTGGTGAGTCTGTCTTCTCCTCATTCCTTGGGTTGCATTTCTGTTTCTAAAGCTGAGATCTACAACCTTGGCCCGGAAGACATTTACCTGGTTCACGACGACCTGGACAAGGCCCTGAGCAAGGTGGCGATCAAGCTGGGAGGCAGCGCAAGGTATGGGGTGTCCCCAGCTCTGTATGAGATGGTTTGAGGCTTTAACATGCCCTCACAGGCACATAGGCTGTTCCTGGCCCTGTCCCATCAGCCTTGCAGTGTTTTCAGCCCCAGCCTCGATCCATTGCAGAGGCAACATCTGGCTGTTTGGGCAGCCTCCCAGTTCCTGCCCTGGCAGGGAGGGCAGGGAGCCTCCTGGAAGCGGCTGTGGGCTGGATCCAGCCCATCGGCTGTACCACATGTGCTTTTTATAGCACTGTGCTTGCCCAGTGCCAGCTCCTGGGTCAGCCTGGAGACATTTAACCCAGGAAATCTTCCACTGTAGGATGGGCAAGAATGGTACTGGGCCCCAGCACTCAGTCACACAAACACTTACCAGCTGCAGTGAGAACTGAGACGCACAGAACGTGCTGTCCCAGCCCTACTTCCCTTGTACCCCCCCAGCCAGCTGCTCTGAGCCCCCAGGTCTGGGTGTTCCTGCAGAGCCAGGGCATGGAGACTGCAGCTCCTGGCTGGGACCACAGCCCCATATCCCTGCAGCAGGAGACCCCAAGACTTGGAGGGGGGATCTCTTGCAGACTAACCATGGGTTTTCTCCTTCTTTCCCAAGGGGACACAACGGGGTCCAGTCCTGCATCAGCGCTTTGCACTCCAGCGTAAGTGGGCTTCGGTGGAACGGGATCAATCCTGCCCCCACCTCAATGCATGGCTTGTCCCCTTACTCCCATTTTTCTGACAAGCCCCTGCTCCCTCTCTCCCCTTTTCTCCTTCCCCTCCTTCCCTGAGGGCTGATGTCTGTTTGGCTGCTGTGGAGGACATGGAAACAATTAGTGTGAGCAGCTCTGCCAGGCCTGGCAGGAGCCCGGGATCTCAACACAGCCCAGCAAAAGCCTCTTCCAAAATCATGTTTCTTGGAGCAAGCACTCAAAACCACCTGGAAAACATGAGGAGCTGCTCCCTCGCTGCCCAGCCCCACTCTCAGCATTGTCCCCTTGCCCAGCTCTGTCTCAGCCCTTGAGGGGCAGCTCCCCCAGCTCTCCTCCTTCCTCTGCAGGAGATGACCCGGCTCCGGGTCGGCATCGGGCGACCAGAGGGTGCAGTGACAGTGTCCAGCTACGTCCTGGCTCCATTCAGCACTGGGGAGCAGGAGAAGCTGGAGCAGATCCTGGCCCAGGCAGTGACCTGCCTGCTGGAGCACATCCAGAGCCGAGCGCCTGCGGGGGACAGGGGCTGACAGGAACCCCTGGGGACCTGCGTGGCCAATGGACAGAGCGCTGTGGCTCTCCAGAGGGACTGTGGTGCAGAGCAGAGCTGGCCCTGCCGGGCTCTGGGACAGCCCCCTCTGTCCCAGCACAGATCTGGGCGGCCCATGTCCCACTGGCATCCCTACAGTGGTTCCACATGGCAGTTTGGCACAGAAATTAAATAAATCCTTGCCCCAGCTCTGCCCTGCTCCTGCCTCTTGTGCATGCTGCCTGCTGAGCTCAGATTGTCCCTGGCACTGCAGCTCAGATCCCTGTTCCTGTCCCTGTTCCAACAGCCCATGCTGGAGGGATGCTTCCAATGGGAAGTGGGGAGCAATGGGAGCAACTTCCATAGGGTCCAGAGTCACTTTTGTTAAGAAACCATGGCAAGCACAAGCAACCTGGACTCTCATAGCGTGCTGCTCCCACTGAGCTGCAGCAAGTTTCAGGGCTGGCCTCGCAGTGTTTTGAGTTCAGTGGTTTAAGCCAAAACCCTGGAGTTTCCAACAGTTGCACAAGTTCTGGCTTCTCCTCCCAGCCCCGTTGCAGTCTCATGGTGGAGAGGGCAGTCTGAGAGGCAGTGTGTCCCCAGCACTGCCGTGTCCAGAGCCATGGGCTCTGCTGGCACATCCTGCCCAGCTCCATTCCCCACTAGTACTGAAACCCCCAGCACAGGCAGCTCCTCGCCTGCGTCCCAGCGGTGCTGGAACGAGCACCAAGACCCTTGCTGGGTGACGTGCACTGCAGCACTGCTACCACTTCCACCCTCTGCTCCAGCTGGCACCAGACCTTCCTCTGCTCCATCCCCAGCTCCTGAGCTCCTACCAGAGCACTGATGCTACCTGCGACCAGGGGACAGGCAGGGAAGCAAAGGTGTTCCCAACCTGCCATCCCTTCCTCATCCTTTCCCGCTTATGGATTTCACTTCCAAAGCAATTCCTGGCTGAGGGAACTGCCAGACCCTCGCCCCTGCGTCTCCGAGGTGACCCCGATTGGGTAACGCCCTGGGGATATGGGGCAATGCCAGCACCCAGCACGTCAGCTCAATCACAGTCTGCTTTAATCCTCCCTGGGCTTCAGCCCAGACATGGCACGAGGGACAACCCAGTCAGTGGCAGGAGGCCACGTGTGCTGCTGCAGGAGCCAGCCCCCGTCCTGAAAAGCACTCCCCAAAGTCCAAGCTGGGGGCAGAGTTGGCATCACTTGGGGTGGTCCTGGAGTCGTGTCCTCAGCAGAGACAGTGCTTGGCTGGTCACTCCACCTGGCAGGGAAAGGCTCTCCTGGGGCAAATCCTGCCTTAGGTTGGATTTGTCACAGTCAGATTCGAAGAACCCTGTGGGGGTCTGTCCAGGGCAACTGCATCTCTTGAGTAGGAGTGGGCAGGATCAGGCCCGCGGTGCTCCCAGCTGGGTCACGATCCCTCATCCCTAGGAGGCACAACACAGACGTTAGAGGTCATGGCTGGAGCAGCCCCAACGTGTTCACGCCTGCAGCTGAGGCGGTGGGAGGGATGTTTTCCAGCCTCCCCCAGTCTTCTGGCAGCTCCTGGGGCGGCTCTGCTGCCAGGACAAGCAACCTCAGGCAGGGAAAGTCTGACCCAGCGTTAACCATGGCTGCGCTGCCCTGGGGCTGAGCCAGTTCTGGTTCTTACCTGCTTGCACAGAGATGCAGCCCCAAAGATACCTGATTTTGGGGGCAGCAAGTAGTGCCGGGGTGAAACATTCCCCTGGAGACAGCTCCAGCTCTCCCAGCTGAGGTGACTTGCAGCAGGAGGAGCAGCATTGTCCCTTCCTCACTTGAGGGGTTGGGAAGCAACAAGACCTGGTTCCCTGGTCCTGTGCAGGCCCCCATGGGACATCTGTGTCCCCATCCCTTTCCCCACGTGGAATAGACAATCCCATCTCTGTTTCCCAGTGCCTTGATGGGGAGAGCTGCTGCCACATGGCAAGAAGAAACCAGGCATGCAGGACACATCCGATCATGGGGCTCACAGGGAGATGCTCCTCAGATGCTCCATCCCCCATGCCCAGGTCCCAGAGCCCTGCTCACCATCAGAGCTCGTCGCGGCCGGTGGAGCGGAGGTGGCCGGCGCTGCCCCTTGAGTCCCGCAGGGTCTTTTGTGAGCCAGCCCAGTCCGTCTTCTTGGCATCGTCATCCCAGATGGTGGAGGTCTCAGTGTCACTCAGCCAGTTGCTGTCCCCAGCGTAGTGGGTGGGATAAACCAGGAGCGGGTGAGCCGAAAACACCAGCAAGTCCCGGGGGGTGAAGTGTCGCTTGTAATCCTCGCTAGGGAAAGTGGAACAGACCCGAAAGGAGAAACTGGCTTACAGAGCATGGCACAGAGGAGAAAAAGGACTGGGAGAACCTCATTGACCGCCCTGGGAAGGCTCCATGGAGGGCAGGAATGGGGAGGGACATGGGGAGAGACACCAGGCAATGAGGCTGGGGAAGGCATCTGAGTAGGGGGCTGCCCCGTGCCACTGCTGCCTGCAGAGCCTGGCTGGACAGGGATTGTGGAGGGACTGCAGAGGGGCCAGGACCCATCTCTCCCCACTAGTCTTCGTGGCACGGGGCCGGCTCTGGCATTGAGGGGGCCTCTGGCACAGCATCAGGCTGGCCCGGGGCCAGGGCTGTCTGGTGCTGTTATCCCTGCAAGCATGGGACTTCCAGCTGCTCCTGGTGTACATCCAGAGCACTAATCCACCCCTCCGTCCACCTCCAGCTGCCTTTGACATGCCTGATCCCCATGTTTCTCCATCCTGGCTTTCCCACTTCCCTCTCTCATGGCACACCCAGCCACCAGTGCTCGCCCACCCCTTAAAATGCCTCCCCCTCCCAAGACACAGCCTTACCAGTGACACCCATCCCAGAGAGGGGAGTGCAACTTCCTGAAACCCACAACCAGGGGCAGGGGACCACACAGCCCCCCAGTACCAGGGTACAGGGGGCTGCTCCCTGCTTGCCATGGGGCCAAGACCCCCATGCAGGGCCCACACTGAGCCTCAGCTCCAGCCCCATTCCCCCACCCAGCGCTGGCAGCGGGCCATTTTCCAGCGGCCGGTGGCCAGGCAGGGAATGAGCTCATGCTACAGATGTTTTCCTCCAGCATGAGTAACACTGAGGCAGGGGGGGTGGCTGTGAGACAGTGACAGCAGAGAAGAAACACATGCTCCCTCCCCAGCATGGCCATGCCAGCACCCTCCTGCACCCCCTACTCCTTACTTGGGGTGCTTGTCGTACATGATGGGCAGGTACTCGTCCACCGGCAGCATTTTGGAGAGGGGCTTGGTGGCCAGCAGCTTCTGTGCCCCACGGAGGGAGATGGCGTAGGCCAGTGTCCAGTATGAGTACCCGGCCACCACCAGGTTCCGCACACCCTCCACGGGCGCCTCGTCCTCGTCATTCACCTGCTTCCTCCCCAGGTAGCTGTGGGGTGGCCAGCAAGCTGTAAGAGCCAGCCCTGGGGACCCCCACCTCACATCCCTCCAGGCCCAGCACCTACATGAGGTCCCAGTCCTGCTGTGCCCGCTCCAGCTCGTCCATCAGCCGCTGCAGCCGTGCAGGGAAGGCGGCCTCAAAGCGCACATCGTCCTCGAAGACCACCGACCGCTCCAGCCCCCGGGACACGATCTGGGAGAGGGGGCAGAGGTGCAAACCCATCCCCAGCGCTGCTCTGGGACATACTGGAGCCACTTTCCCTGCAGGACACCCCTCTGCCCAAATCCTCCTGTGATGCTCACAGGGTCCCTGCCCCCTTAGGAACCTCCTGTGCCCCATGGCCCCGTACCTCCTTCCAGATATTGTAGTGGCTGAGGAAGCAGCCGACCTCCCCCTTGGTGAGCGTCCGGCCGGAGAAGGGATCGTAGTACCCTGGGAGCAGGTCCACCCCCAGCACCTTGATGTCGCTGCTGTTGAGGGTGCTGCAAGGCAAGGAGCTGCATCAGCGAGGCGTCCCCACCAGCCACCCCCCATCCCCTCCCCAGGGTGACAGTGGGGGGCTGGCCCAGTGATCCCCCCATGGTCACCTGCCATCCACAGCATCCACCACCCGTGGGAGGATCTCCAGCTCCTGCAGGGACGCCAGCATCCGCTGGCGCCGGTCCGGCCTCCGGACCAGGTTGATCAGGAAGATCTGGGAGGAAAAGGGAGGGCCCCACCAAGGGGGCATATTGTTACAGGGGGACACACAGCCTGCCCAGCTACTGCAGGATCGGGACAGGGCCTTGGGCTTTGCCATGGATGTGTGTAACCAGAGGGATGGACAGGGAAACATAAGGGGGTCTGTTGGGCACTTACTTCATCAAAGCCCATTTTTGTGAGCGGCCTGGGGAGGAGGGAAATGTGCCTGGAGCGCTGCATGGGGGGGCCATCCACTGTGGACAGAGGAGACACCCCTTCAGCAGAGCCCAGATTCCTGTGGCTGGGAGCTGGGACCGACAGCCCTGTCAGGATCTGGATGTCTCCAGGACCCCTCCATCCACGGGCACTCACCCATGGCCTCCAGCGTCAGATGCACAAAGTTGGCACGTTCGTCCTCCAGAGTCTGGTGGGCCTTCACGGGGACGTTGATGTAGCCAAAGCGGTGCTGGTTGCACACATGGACCTCGGCACCTGCCGGGCGGGTTGAGGTGAGCACCACAGCCCCACCAAGCCCCTGCAACCCCCAGGCCCATCACCCTCACCAGCCGCCTGGCAGGAGTAGGCAAAGACAATGATGTCATCGAAGGCCCAGGTGTAGTTGGGATGGGGTGGGTAGAAAGCCAACCGTGACGTCTCCTCCTTCCTCAGGTCAATCAGGAAGGTGGCGTAGACCATGGGGACAGGGAAACAGCCCACTCGCTGCCGGTTCTTGGTGGGGAAGTAGTCGGCTGTCCGGCGGTAGTAGCCCTGTGGCACACTGGTGTGACATCTCCATGGCAGGGGGATCCTCTGCCACTGGGGGTGTCTCATTCCTCAGGGATTTCCAGGGACGTACCTGGGGTGTGATGCCACACCAGAAGTTGGAGTAGAAGGTCTGTGAGTCCAGCATGGGGGCCACCACTGACTTGTTCTGCGCCATGAGAAACTTGAGGGTCTGGTTGTCGGTCAGGATGCTGTCAGTGTCCATAAACTGCAGGGATGTCACAGGTTCTGGAGGTGTGGAGATGCCCACCTCAGCCCCCACCCCACCAGAGCCCTGTGTCCCTTACCAGGATGT